CTAGCAAAAACACCTTAAGGACTTGAAAGAGTAAATAAATAGTTTCTTAGGTACTCAGAATAGCCATTGCACCATTTGAACAATTTGCCTCTCCTAATCATAATATTTTAAGATTAAAACATTTTGGTTAGTAGGAAATAAAAAGGAAAATGAGAATTTTGTGAGAATTATTTCTTATGAGCTGGGGCAAGAGCAACTGAAATAAAAGATTTTTAGAGCTATAAATATAATCATTAAACATTCCTTGCACAGTAAGAGAACAAACTTAAAAGCCTGTGTTCCAGATGTAATGAAGCTCAGAAAGGTCAGACATCAGACTAACTTAGCATTCCTATGAGGCTTGATGCAGATAATTCTTCAATATAAAGACAGTTACAGTTATGAAGTGACTGGTTACAGGGCTCAAAACATTTATCCTGCAAGAACACTATCTTAGCTAAGAATGTAAAATTTTAAGATCCTGATTCAGAATCTAAGTTTTTATCACAGAGTGACAGCAGCATTGCTGAAGAATATTTTGGCCAGCGGTCTTCAGTATGAATTTTTTAAAATTCATAATTGAAATTTTCATTTTATATAAATATTCTTGAAGAGATAATATGCCCCTATTTAAATATTAGTAGTAACTCTGGCAAATATACACATTGAGTTTGTAATTTTAATATTAGAATTCTGTCACTGCAGTCAGCAACATCCAGATTATAAAAATACATTAACAGAAGGGGAAAAAAATTAGTTTTAGTGTTTCTGTTAACAATTAAAGTATAATGTAATACATGAAAAACTAATTATGAGATTCCTGCATGCTCCACAGAGATTCTAAATGTATTCTAACATTTATTTATTCAGGAAATTTATCTAATTATCTTCTCACCTAAGATAATCCTCTAGGCTTGTGTGTAATTAATAAGAAGACATAGGGATCTTAATTTCATCTTATTTAAAAATCCATTTGATGAACAGAATTGATCCCCTCTCTCCATCACCTAAAAAGTTTAAGACAGATGACTAGCATTGGATAGTGTCTGATATATTCTAAAAATATACCACAATTATGAAGAACAAAAAAAATAGGGATAAAAGATATTCAAATGAGAAAGACTATGGAGAGACTAAAACAAGTTTCTAAGTTGTATAGTCAGCTTGCAGCTGACTGGAACAAAAAGCAATAAATCTGTAAACACAAACATGCAGACATCTTTTGCATACTTTTCTTAATCTATGTGGCAGAGACAAATGCTGTTAAGAAATGTCAGCAATCTTTATTCTATTTTGTTTTTTATTTGAGAAAAGCATTTCCAAGCAGAAACTACAGAAATACTCCTAAAGGTATTTTTACCTGTAGTAGATCATCCATTAAAAAATCAAAAATTTTTACGAACTGAGCTATGTACATCAACCCAGAAATGTTTAAATACTAATAGTACAAAATACTTTGAAAACTTTACAGAACAAACTTAAGGCTCTAAACAATTTCTGTATTCATTACCCTGACTTAACATTATAAATCATTTAAACTATATGTTTTAAAATTCATCATCTATATATCTGTGTATATGCAAATAAGAAAGAAAAAAGTACATAATTTAAAATATCCTATTATCTGATGGACAGAGATGGGAACTGAAACTAGTTTTTGCGTCCACTGCAAAATTGAAGGAACGGCACTGCCATAACACAATTTCCTTGAATACTCGTTTTCTGTTTACTGCATACCTATTTTGTTTCTCTTCATTATTCTACACTTCTCACTTTATCATTACAAAAATAGGAAAAGCACAATTACATGCTGAGCATTTTTTTTTCTCACTAAGAAAAAAGGTTTTGTATGAATTTCCCTTGTGCTCCCAATAATTCTAGAATTTTTCAGCCAGTTTCAATTGATAGAGCCGAGTCCTGGAAAAAGATATTATACTACGTTTAGAAGAAATTTAAAGAATTTGACTTTAAAGGAAGTCAACAATCAAAGGTAAGAGATGGTTCTTTTAGGAAAAGTGCTCTAGTATGAGTTCACACCATATTAGACCTCTGAGTCCACTTTAAGAAAAGAAACCATTTAAGTCTATGTTGCACCTTATAGGAAACTAGGTGGCTTATCAGGAAAAAGCCCAATAGCAAACCACAGTGCACTTCTAGTTTCTTGGTGGCAGTATTTTTTTGCTGTTGGTGTTTTGGTGGGTTGGATGTTTTTTCTTTTGGCAAGGAGAAGTAACAGATTAACAGTCAATAGTTTGAAAATAATACCCCAGGAATGTTCAAAAGAAGGAAAGGATGGAACATATTTAGCACCTGCACTTAACTGTGTAGATGACAGTGCTGTTACAGAATTGCTCTGCTTATTCTACCCCTAGACAATTTCAACTGAGGTAATACAGCTTTGTAATTAGAAAAAGTCTTAAGTCACATTAGCAACAACAAGTGAAAATGTTTCCCTTTGGTCATTTTTTTTAGAACATGTGTGACATCGACAAGACTTTAATCCAAAAATATCAAATAATTTAACGTTGTTGTCATTATCATAGGTAAATGAAACATAGATTCTCAGACAGAAATTACAGATTTATAATTGCAAAGAAAGCAATAAAACCTATATCCTGACATCACAGTGGTCTACTTTAAGGTTGAAACAGCAGATCCTTTCTCAACATAACTCTTTCATGAATATTATCACTTTGGTGTTTTCTTGGCCTTTGTAAATAGCTGTTCACAGAGAACTATCACAATCATGAGTAGAAAAAAAAAAAAAGAAAATAACTGCACTTGACTAGAAAATTGGGTATTAGTTACACTTCTGATCACAAGATTTGCCAGGGGCTTTATTTAACCACCATTCAGGCCAGTCAACATTCCACATACTTCTGAAGCTTTCAAACATGTTTGTTTATACAGATTACGATACCAGTGGTAACTACGATGAGTCACCTTGTCTTTACTAAAGTAGAACAAGCTGTTATAATCACTTAAATACAGTACTGGACAACACAGGCACTCCTTTTTCATCCCAGGGGTTTCTGGTGATATTAGAACATTTCTTTGTTCCACAGAACTGTCACATGTGAGTCCATGGTAAATTCAGAATCTGGGGATCTTTTAAGTTAAGGTATTTCTACCATCTCAACATGCCAGTTAGTTACTTTGCAGTTCAGTTAGGTAGATGATTTGGAATGCAGAGAAAGTCATGGTCTTGACACCTGTTATGTGTTAGAAGTGAGGTACTTTTAAAGAGAGACACCAATATTTAAAAAAAGGCTAGTATGGATTTTCCATATTCCAAAGCAGAAAATGATCTTCTGAGGAGCAATCTACTTCTTAGAACTCCACTACCCAGCATTAATCAACTTATTAATTTATTTAACACGAGGAAAGGAGAGTTTTACTTAACTGGAGAGCTTATCGCTAGAAAATGCTATAAGAGCAAAGAAGTATACGTGTATCAAGTAAGATTCCTATGTTTCTAATTGTAGTGGAACATCCTTCCTCCAAAATAAAGCAACAATATGAAAAAAGGCCACATTACATGAGTGTGAATTCAGCTGGACAGAAAAGTATTTTCTCCACAGTTCTTAAGTTTAAAAATATAGAAGAAGTGCAAAGTTAGTATTTTTATTATGTAAAAGTGCAAACTCAAATTATGATATGCCAGACTGATTTTCAAGAGGACCTTCCAGTTATATATGAAATCCCCATGTCTTAGTAAATCTTACCACAGTGAAAGGCAGGAGTCTCATTAAAAAGAAATCTGTGTTGGCTCATATGAGCATTTTATTTTAACCCTGGAGATCAGTTTCGAACCAAGTTTCCTGGTCCTCGCTATTCAAATGGATTTACACATTGTGGAGCCATCACCTCAGTGTTTGCATACTGAATTCCTTTTGAGAACCCAACAACCCCTCCAATGTGCTCTAACCACTAAAAGGCATTTGGCACCCTTGGGCACATTCAGCTGAACTAGAATTAATCTGAAGTCAAACCCCTTAAACTCATCATGGATATCAAGTCCTCCGATCCATTGCATTTGCCCTAGACCTACCCCTACTGTTTGACATCATCAGTTAGAAATTACATTTTTCAATCCTTAGGTAGTGCTATTTCTTCCATAGTATCACCACTGCAATTTAGGAGTTATACATAAAAATTAAAAGCTTTAACAAATTTGTTCCTATGCTTAAGTTAACAACATTTTACCTGTAATTAAAAATTATTCAGGGCAAAGAAGGCTTATCTAGTACTTCTTTTGAGTAGATGACTTCACTGCCACAGTCACAGAACTGATCTCTTCATTACAGAAGAAAACATTTTTATTAAAAATGTATTAAAAAATTAATTAAATCCAAAATTAAAGACACATGACAAACTTAACCTGAAGAACTTTGATTACTGTCCATAGTTTTACATTATCTCATAGTTTAATGACAGCATATTTTCTTAATTTACAAAAAGTAAGGGAAAGGTGAACATAAAGTAAGACTGCGTGTAAACAGGCAAAAAATCAACTATAGTTTCTTTCTCCATTGAATGGAATTGTTCATTGATATAGACAATATATTCTACACATGGAGTATGAAGGACTGAGAAGAGACAGTAATAAGAAAACATGTAGCAAACATAACTGTTCATGACTACTGCCCTCTATCCAAACTTCATAAAAACTATTAAAGTCATCTTACAAAACGATTTTCTACTTTCAACTAAAGAAAAAACCCCACAAACAGGTTCAGAATATGACCATTGCTACTGTAGAGTATAAAATCGACATTCTTGCAATGAAATGAATAATTATGTTTGCTTGTCTCTACAGTATGGTAGGAGAAATACAAAACTTTGATCTTATTACTGCAGTGATAATGGAAAGAATTTGCTACAATGATTAAGTCTGCTGCAACTTCATTTAAACAAAGAGTTTGTAATTCAATTTGTTCTTTGTAAGCTCCTACCTAGACCTTCTAGATATAAACACTGTTATACCTTTAGATTTTTATATGCATTTTAAAAACACTTACTGTTCTAAGAGTTGATCATATTTTCTTAAAGATTCCTTTTCAGCAGTAACTGCTCTCTCTTTTTCGGCAACAGCATTATCTCGTGCTTCTCTCAAATTTCTGAAGGAAACAAAAATTATTCTGTTAAGAATCTGTTAGAAACAAGACTGTTTTGCTTCATTAATTACTGCTCTCTGATCCGAACTTCAATGCTACATTCTTCAGCTCTCACAGAATGACAGAAGAGTCTGTCTATTCACCTATTTATTACAGAGGCTTTACTTCAGGTTATTTTCATATATACCAGTAAAGCTTCCAGTTCTGAAATTGTAAAAAACAGTTATCAAATAATCTATTTACATGTGGTAAATATACATATTACTCTATTCTAGAATACGAGAACTAAAAATAGTTTAATTTTTGCAGGAATTAAATAAATTCGAATGATTTTCCTTGGTGCTTTGGGAATAACTGAAGGAATGCTGTCTGCCTAGCTGAGATGATTCACAACTTTTGATAGAGCAAGAAAAGTTTAGGTAAGCATAGAAATCCTACTTCCACGTACAACTAATTGTCTAGTTAGGGTGATGTGTATGTTAATGCATGTCATTGGTGTCTCCTTCTGGATTTTATTGCTGGAAACATTTTTGATCTGCAAAGAACCATAAAATAACATTTTATTACAATCAATTGATACTCCTTTTTTTTATAACCAAGGATCAGTCAAGATGTTCAAACTACCTCAATTATTATTTGACCAACACAAATGAGAACAGCATGATACTAAGAATAAAACATATAGTATTTGTGGTTAAAAATTGGAATTAGTTATTAATAGTCTGTTATGTTGCAAGCAGGCTACGTATTAACACTGCAGGAGACTGTAATGAAGGGAAGCACAGCTTAGATACTGTATATAAACTCAATGTCCAATATTTATAGTGTAACACAGCATCAGCCAATTTGCCAGAGCTAACTGGTTGTTGAGGATCAGACATCTGCATTATGACTGGTTTCAAGGATTTTACTGTACTGCTTGTTTGCTTCTATGATAAATATTCACCAGTATTTTGAACATATTAGATGATCTTAAAGAGTATTTTCAATTTTGTTTTATTTAAAAGGAATCCTATTCATATGCTACAAATATGAACAAATCCAAGCACAGCTGCAAGGCAAGCTAAAACCACGGCTAGCACCAATGACTAGGGGATTTCACTTCAACAGCACGTTCTTCATCCAAACTGATCTGCTAATGTGGCTGCAACCAAGATCTTCCTACTGAAGTTTGTTTATTCCTCTCCCAACAACAACTTTCTAACTTAAGGCAAAGTGAAATTAAAGGCTCAGGCAAGTTTTGAAGAAAAGTGAAAAGTCAGGATACAAAGGAAAATAGAGAATTATTATGCTCATGTACATGTGAACTTAGGTCATTGTATCACACTAAAGGTATATAATTTCTGGTTTAAAGACTATTTTCGAGAATAAATGTTATCGGTAGCACTTCCTGAATTCAAAGTAATTCATATGAACAGCAAATGGTTACACATAAAAAACTAACATCAGAATTATGTTGCAGTTAACTGGCTATTAGAGAAAGATAACAAAAATTGCTTTAAAAGTTGAGTTACCAGGCTACAGAATTTAGTGAAGAAATTCAGGGACTGACCTTAAGATTAGATTATTTAAAACAGACTTATACCAAAATATGGGAACATGACAATACACTTTGCTAACAGCATTAAGATCAAGCATATTGTGTCTTAGAGTAGGAGTCCAGAGCAGTATCCTTAAGACCACAGTAGTGGAAGTGGGATAAAAATGAAACAGTAAGAGAGATACAGAGACTCATTTAGAGAATAAACTATTTTGCTTAGCTCAACAATTAATCAATTGAAAATGCAGTACGAGGAAAAAGGACACAAGTGAGGGACTATTCGACCAACAATACCACAATCATAGATGTGATGAAACTTCGTTTGAAATACTCTTTTTCTAGAGAGTCAGGAGCCAGTAATGCTGCCAGTTGTCAGTTATGTGATTGTCATTTCACAGGAGGTGAAGCACCTACCCAAATGGCTGCACTGGGGTCTTATGAGGCATCTAGCCAGCCTATCAAGTGAAAGTAACCTTCTGAAATGGGACAGAAGTACTATCTAGAGGATCAAGAATGGGCATGGGGGGAAAAAAACATGGGATGAAGACACAGGAGGCAGCAGCTCATGGGCATCTTTATTGGGTTTTCAAACAAGCCTCTTGGCAACTGCCATTTATTACACTTTATCACATCCCTAAACTGGTCTAGAAGGCACAAACTGGATTCCTGTCAGATTCACCCACATCAGAAAAGGTGCTCAGGGAAAGCACCTGACATGCTGAGCTACTAAATTGTGTTTGAGCTATGGGAACAGACTACAGGTAATCCAGTGTAAACCCCTTGCAGACATTCACATGCCCTGTGAATTCACTCACGCTTGCTAATGCAAACATAACCCATGCTTACAACAACCATACAAGTGAAACTGATGCCAAAGAAATTAGGCATGAAAGCATCACCTTTTTATTAGTGGCCCCCTCCCATTTTAGTTTCTTGAGCTGATTCATCCAATTGTAAAATAAGCACCAATAAATTCAAAAGAACTATCAGGCACATCAGGCTTGGCAAAGTGGCAAAGAATATGAGCAACTGAATATTGGATTAGCTTAGTGTAATACCATTCCATGCTTTGAGCAGGATGATGGAACCAGCATCTTAACTTCATTTTCAGCCACAAACAGCATCTCATCACATTACACAAATTCACTGCAAATTGTTATGCTCACAATTTGAAATTCCATTTGTCTTACCATTGAGGTAGTCTGCCTTATGGTGGATTTTTAGTATTTTCTATAAAGAACATATGCTAGAAAGTCTTCTTTGATTTTTTTTTTTTTTTTTTTGTTAAACATGTAGGCAAATCTAAGGGTTTTTCTTTTTAGAAGTAATTATTTCAAAATGAGGAAAAAAACTTCTGTAAAGCAGTTCCAGATACAAATGAAATATCCTTCAGTAGCTTTCTCAATGATATACAGACGCTTGTCAAATCTCCAAAGGAGTGCAGGTTTAAATTCATACTTTGTAATTCAAAATAGGTTTGCATACAGGAAGTGGTGTGGATGTATATGTCTATTTTACTCACACTTGCAAAACTACACAATTATGTAATTGTTTTTTAATTAGAACCTTTCTGTTGACTGAAATACAGCAGAAGCCATGTTCTTTTCCCACTCTTCCCAGCAGTAAAAAAACTACCTATTAGAGGAATGGATGCTGATGCCACAAATATCTTTTTACTACTGTCATTTCCTTCTCCACATGACACTTTCAGGACATCTACAGTCAAATTAAGTTACTAAGCACTCCTTCCATTTTAAAGCAATAAAATGGGCAAAAAACAATCTAAAGAAGAAATTCGGTGCCAAAGGTCCAAATCCCTAAGTCCCTAAAAAGCTTATGCATGTGCATATAATTCCATGGTATTCAACTAGATTGCATACATACAAACTTATCATGCAAGTCTTTGCAGAACTAGAATCTTCTTCAAATGAGAATTTTACAATAATTTACAGGAAATCAATGTTTTTTTTGAATCACAATGCTCTAAAAAAACTCAATTAGATTTATTCATACAGGTCTAAGTCCTATGTCTTTTGGGTTTTTCCTACATCATTTTCTGCATCAACACCTTCTCTTCTGCTCAGTTTCAAGATTGCCCCTAGAGCATGACAGATAAACTGTCATCCCATATTAATTAACTAATGTTATACCTCTGAACAAACTTCAAATTACCAAATTTTAAGTGGAACCTGAATTTTAATAAACCTTTTCAAGTGATAATGTTGGCGGTTCATCATTTACAATACTAGTATAATTTTATTTTAGTTTTTAGAAGACTCCCATCAGTTTTACAACCAAGCTTAAATTGTTACATTTTGAACACCTCTCCAAGAGTTAGTCAGCTAGGATTATACCTAAGCACAAAACAGTGCTTAGTCATTTCTTCCTCAATTAGGTTATTGCCTACACCTTACCTACCTGTTTTCACGTTCATACATCTCCTTTGAGGTGCTTCTTAGTTGCTCAATTTCTTGATTTGTTTTCAACCTTATTTGTTCCAACTCTTCATGCAATCTTTTTTCATATTCTGCTTTATAGTGGTCTCTGTAAATAAACAAACATATTGCACTAATCAAAGTATCAAAACTTCAGGTAAGGCTTTACAAGAGCAGACTTGTTCTTGATTTTACATTCTATTTCAATCTATACTCATTAACCTCTCAATGACTTAAAATACCTATCAGCTTATGTTGCTACATAAATTAAATGAAAATCAACCAGGAACAAATAATATTTAACTGTGAATAAACAGAAGTTTTTTTGCATGTAGATTAAAATTTTTAAAGTAATTTAAAATATTGATTAATCACATAACATTAACATTCTTCCAGAACTTCTTTATCTGTCTCTACAGTGCTGACATATATGTAAGTGCTTATATTAAGTAACCATTTAACTCCTCACTGTTTTCTTCAGCACTGGCTAAGGATTGATCAACTTATTGACTTGCAATGCTGCCATGCCAGTACAAGACTTCTTTGTGTACTATCTGCACCTTCTATGAGGGAAAAAAATATCACAAGAAACATTGAAGATTGAATAGATTGGAGATTTGTCAAGTCAGAAATCCCTAAGATTTGGGAATTTATCCTGTCAATACAACATAAGAATTATTTAAAACACAAAGATTTTAAGCAACAGGTTACAGAAGATATCAGGATAAAAGAATTTCATTTCAGGGAAACATTGACTTTTTTTGTAACTTTGGAAGCTCATGACAGATTTTAAGGAATCTCATAAAGAATCTCTCCTACAAAAATAGGGTTATGTTGTAAGCGCTTAATAGATAAGGAATGTCAAAATTTTATATCACCTACTTAATGTTCAAGAAAAATTAATCAGCAACTAAGCAACTGGTAAAAATCACAGGTTTGGAAACAAAAGCATATTATGAAGATATGTGCATTTACAACAGTAAAAGGTTTTAGATTTCATTTGATTTCCAATCATAATACTTATGATTTCCAAGCATAATTCTTAGAAATGTGTACTTGAGCTGGTCATAAACTCCCTCACATTAACTAGAAGCCCAAAAATATTAAAATGGAGAATGTTTGTTGTCCAGGTTTTCCTTTTATTTTATTTCCTTTTCCTTTCATAAAAAACAACTTTACAGGTTTTCCTTTTATTAAGACACTGTATTTCAGTTGACCCTTCAAGATAAAAGTAAATCTCTTAAGTCTTCTCCTTCCTCAACTGTGCCCCACTATAGCAAATACTGTATGAAGACCTTTTATAAAATTAAAAGATTTATCATAAAAAAACAAAAAAGAATGATTTCTTCAATTTTTGAAAGTAAGACTTAAAATTTTATTTAAAATACAGAAGTGCTGGGTGAACATAGTTCTGAGATATAAACATGCAAAACAAATATAAAAAACTTTGAGTGATTGCATTGAAAGGAAAAATAATATTTAAGACTCTTCTGATATGGGCTGGACCTCCATAACTAATAATTTCAAGAATGCCCTTCTATTTTCATTTAGGTAACAATTTTTGTTTTAGTTGTCTATCAGGAGACTCCTATTAGCTCACTTCCTCTTAGTTATACAGGACAAGATTTATAGATACACATTGAAAACAAAAAGTTTGTTTTATAACTAACTGAGTAAACCTACAAGAATAATTGCCATAAACTCCCAATGCTGCAAGTTTACTTCCATTGTTATGATCTTATAAAGTTTTTAAAAAAATGTTTGGGATAAATACTATGACCCAAGAAATGTGTTCTGCTTCTAGCTACAAAAATATGGATTACTTTCTGAAAAATAAAATTAATTAAATGGGATTTGTCCAAGAAACAAGGGAGAACAGTTAAAGAACCTGTCTACTGATAAAAGTGAACAGATAATAACTTGCCTGGATGTGACATATTTTTCATACATTTCTTCTCTAGCTTTTTTAGCATCCTCTAGCTGAATCTGTAGTCTTTCAAGACGATCTTCTTCATGTGCACAGCGAACACTAAGCTCCATGTTCTGGCGATTAAGATAATCTTTATCTTTTTGCAGCAAGTTGAGGGATTGTTGTATGGTTGCCAGCTATAAAAGGTATTAAAAAGAACATTTTAACATGAATTTAAAGATAATTATTTAACCTATGTACACATATTTTCAATTTTATTTTAACTGTCTACTGTGAAATCATCTGAACCAATAAACTCTATTTACACTTTAAGTTGATGAAGCTTTAAGCTGAAAAAAATACTTTAATAATAATACAATTTTATGAGCTTTCATTATTTATTTCCAGTAGTTAGCACCTGAAAAAAGAGGTCCTTTCCTCTACATCAGTATCTAAATAGTGCTGAGGTATTGAATAGTAGTGGTACTGCATAGTGCTATGTCAGAAATACTGATGAAAAATCTTGGTGCCAACCTGTCATACAGACTAGATATTCTCAGGAATAGCAGTGAAATGTTTAAGGGCACCAGGGTGATAACTGCTCTGTAAAGAAATGGTAAAACTCATAGTTCTTGGGCTGATGTAAGGCATGATTGCTGTGGACAAGGCAATGCTCCAGGCCTGCCCCAAGGGCAAAGAGCTGGTGTTGCTACAGAAGGCTGATCTGATGACAAAGGCATCTGCTCTCAACATGTTCTTGTTCCTACTTTGGAAAATGTTTCCTACAACAAGAAGTAATGTGAGGGAGAGTAGTCTCCATCCATTCAAAGTGAACACAGCGAACAGCCAAAGACCACATGGGCATTGTTGCAAGGTGGCCCAACCCCATAACCATGACAACAAAACAGTTTCATACCCTCATAGAATTTTGGCATTTAAGCTCCTGAGGATTTCACGTACCAAGTTCAAAGAATGATAAATTAATAACTTATCAGAACCATGTCTCTTACAGCTATAAAGACATCATATACATGGTTTAGACAGAATTCACCTTTTCTAAGTCATACAAGGACTAAAGGTTACTTAGGGAAGATACTGGAGACAAAGACATGGAGCAAGCAGTTAAACAGATGACAATTTATATACAAACAGTGCTCTTAGAGGCATGCTCTTCTCCCATCAGCCTACTTGCTGAGCACCACACTCAGGGTAAGGTATAAATGCCTGTATACTTGATTTAAGAAAAAAAAGTAAACATGGTCTCCCTCCAAGTAACAGATTATCTGTATATCCATAGTGAACAGACATCATTGACTACTACATAAAGAAAAGCAAGCAGTTACTACTTCTATGAATACTCCTCCTCTGGAACAGTCTTTACTGTGTAAAAACTTCCAATTGGATGTTCTTCCAATCCAGGACTTGATACTGTATCAGCAGACACAAAAATCAGCAGAAACCTTCCAGGAGATTTAAGTAATACACAGTTTGAAGCGGTATTTTACTTTAAAGTAGTTCTACTTTTATTCACTCTGATTAATTCAGTATAAATTTAATGACAAAAGCCATCATTGCTGCTATTCTGCACTATTTCATACATATGAACTTGATGTACAGGACAGTACTTTCTTGGCCATTGTTGTATGCTGAGAACAAGCCTGACTTTGGTGTCCTCTTACAATGTTAGATCAAGGAATAAACAGACTTGTTAACAAAGCCTTCAGACTCACACCAAAGGGGTACTTTCTAATAGAAACTCAGTTTCTTCCCTAATGTTTCTGACAATCTCTACAGCTTCCTGTAAAATTAGGCAGAGCAGTGCTATCTTTAAAGTCGCAGTTTTAGCCACTTTGTTTTCTCTGAAACTTGGTTATTCACACAGAGACATAAGGAACACATCTTCCCTGAATACTCTCAGGAGTAGTCTGTCTCATTTATTCAGCTGCTAAAGTGTTTACACACAAAGATCTTCCACACTATTCTTGCAGGGCTCTGCTTTGCTGGATAAACCCTTGCCTGCCCAGTGGAAGTGGGGAATGAATTCCTTGACTTGCTTTGCATTTGTGTGCAGCTTTTGCTTTGCCTATTAAATGGTCTTTATCTCAACAAATGAGTTTTATTGAGTTTTACTCTTCTGATTCTCTTCCTCATCCCACTGAGATGGGCAAACAGCTGTGTAGGGCTTAGCTGCCAGCATATCAAGCATACTCAGAGCATTAATCTTCCAATGGTAAATTTTCCCCTGGGGCCTCCCAGGCTCCTGAGCTTATTGGCAGAGTTCAGTCTGTCTTTGCTTCAGCCTTCTAAGTCATATACCTAGGAAAATGGCATGCATATAACGCCTGGGAAAAAATGGGAAGAACTTGACCAGTGATGAGGTTGCTGTGAGGCTGACCAGCCATTTGAAGGATCATAGCAAGAGATCAAGGCTTTTGATAACGAGAATCCTTCTCCAGGGAGAAGCACCCAGTTGGGTTGGTAAATGTAATCTCAGTCCCTGCAAGGATTATGAAGTAAATTCCCCTGGAAGCTATATCATGAATATGAAAGAGAAGGTGACAGAAAAACTAGCAGGAATTTACCAAGGCCAAACCTATCAAACCTGACAAAAACGTTAGCTCTGTGGATGGGGGGACCACTGTCCATGTCATTTACTTTTGCATTCAGCCACCTCCTGTAATGAACAGCTCTATGGAAAAGATCACAAAATACGGATCAGATAGGCAAACATTTGTTGAAAAAACTGAACATGGGACAAAAATGTGTGTGCCCTGACAACAAAGAAGGTCAAGTGGCTACAAGGCTGTATTAGCAACAATGCAGACAGTGGGTTAAGGAAAATTATTATCTTGTGTTCCATACTTGTGAGATTATATTTAGATTGCCATATCCCATGATGCGCATGTCCTAAAGACATGCATTAACATACTGAGGCAGGACCAGAAGAGCTCTATTAAGATGGTCATGAACTATAGCATATGATGGACAAGGGATTAAGATAAATACTTGGAACTTTTTTTCAGCCTTCAGAAGAGAAGTCTGGCTGTGGAAAATATGATTATTATCTTCACCTATCCAAGTGGAACACATAAAAACAGCTAGATTCTTGGCCGTACATAGTGACAGGACAAAATGCAATAGAGAAAAGCTGTACCGACTGATTAGTTTTTACAAATGTATTTTCACAAGAGGGCAGACAATCACTGGAACAGACTGTCCAAAAGGCTATGGAATCTCCATCGTTGGAGACATTATAAACTTGACAAAGCCCTAAGCAACTTGACCTGATCTTGCTCTGTACTGCATAGATGGATTGGAGTAGCTGGTTTCTTGAGACCATTCTAATTAAATTATTCCATGCTCCTGACAAATTTGATTAGACAAAGAATCAAATTCCTGAGATGAAGAAACACACAATTACTAAGGTAAGAAATTTATGTTTACCTCTTTTGCTAAGTCATTTCTTTCTTTAGTTTGTGTTTTGTATGACATCTCCAGTACTTCATAGTTTCTCCTGAGTTCTGACAATTCATGCTCAAATACATCACGTTCACTGTGAAAGCAAAGTTAAATTATTAGATGCATAAAGTGTAATGAACAAAATTCGAGTGCCTTTTAAATTTCTCAGCCTTCTTCCAGTTGACAACACTGACTTCTTCCAACCAATCACTCACAGAACAACTGGGGATAATCTTAATCTTTTATAGTTATTAACACCTGCAACAGTATCATTTTATATGAAACAATTGAGGATTATTTAAATAATCAGAAACAAAGAAAATTCTACAATATTCAAACTCCCATCCTAAATTATTTAATTCTCCTCTGATTAGTCTTCCTTAGTGCAACTTTGGGCTATACATTTTTTCTCTTAGCAATCTGTAAATGCCCTTATCCATTATTCCAGCTTTATCAAGCTTTTGATGCTATTTTCCATGACATTCTCTTCAATCTTTTGCAGACATGGAAGTCCAATGAAAAAGTGAAACAACTTCATTCCCATCTTCCTAACAGAGCAGAAAGCAATGTATACTTGTTCTCAGTAGGTACTCTCCCCTGCATATAGCCTTGATACCAGAATGGATTGTCATATTTAAAATAGACAAGACACAGCTGCAAAAATTGAGGTGTCCTGAGCAAAAAGTGCTTTCTCCACTCTCACCCTGTCAGAACAGTGAAATGAATGAGCCAGTATGAGCTTGCAGTTTAGAAAAAAGCTTACCAATATTATATTAAGCATTGGATCACTTTAAAACTGAGATAACTTGCAGTACATCAGAACTAGATTTGACATAGTGCTTTTTAAAGGCAGAAACCAGTCTGGAAGTGATTTACTCCTGCAACCCTCTCAAATATCCTCATGCAGTTATACCAACAGAGCTCTCCCCTCCCCTTCGTCTGGGCCTACTCGGCTGAATACAACCTACTCTCTCAAATAGTTTTGGCACGTTCATTCATGCTTTCCTCAACTCAAGACTATTTTAAATCCACACTGTTAAACACTGGAACCATTCACATGAAAGTTATTACAATCTACTTATTAAGATGCAGTTGCATATAGGAAGCAAATCATAGCACCAATCCATCCTATTTGCAACAAGATGCCAGACAGATTCCAGAGTTGTTTTTGTACATATAGCTGTACCAAAAATACTGTGAATCCAGAAGACAGATTCCCCTACAAATGAATTAGTGGGCAGTCATTTGTGTCAGTAACTACACCTGAGTTCATTCCATATGAACAACTAAGGACTTGACATGGTCTTTTCTATTCATAATCCCCATTTTTGAATACATTTCTCAACAAATGTGCCAAAGACCAGATTTCTTGTACTTGCAAGCACAATGAAAAAGTTATTTGGAAGCTGGACTGTGAAGTATACATCTATGAGTATAATTACAAGAGGTCAATTTTCACTATTTTGCAATTGTTTTTGCAAGATGGATATTCAAAACATTGGCTGTAACAGTACAATCTGTATTTTAAAAAAGCTAGAAACTGGAAATTTCTGCAGTTAAACAAATTCACTAAGGTAATCCTAAGATTATCTGCCAGAGTTCTCAAAACACCCCTTTCAAATTTATGGTTTCAAGGATATCTTGAGTTGTAAATATTAATTCCCAAGGTCCTGCCCTCCTAACTCACTCAGTAAGCAGCACAGAGTAGAGCATAGGACCTTTTGTTAGATCATTGCTTCTAAACTATGAATAAAAAAAGAGTACTTGTTCCAAGATGCTTGCCATCAACAGCTCCCACTTCCTTAGCTACAATGAGACTGCAAGGCTCTATTGAAAACACAGTAAATATGAAAATATAAACTTTTAGGAAGATAATTTGATGCATTGGTTTTCAAAATGTTGTTAATTTTATGTCTGCAATACACTAAAGGAGGTAATTTAACCATTAGTGTATGAGGTAAGGAAAAATATCTCCATGTGTTAAGTCAAAAACAAAATTAAGAAGTCTGGTCTATAAAGGCTGATCTTTATTAACATTTTTATGTTAGTTAAACACTTGAATTATAGAGATACTTACCATTTTACTTTATCATAGTTCTGCAGTCTGTAATCACCTTGCTGAATCAACTGTTTGGTATCAGCCAGTTCCAGTGTTAAACGTTGGCATCTGACCTCAAGCTCTGACCGACTCCTCCTCTCGTCTTCATAGCTCTAGGAAGTGAAACATTTTGAAATGATCACAGCTGCACTGATATTTACTTGAATAATCACCAACTGATTTCTGTGAAAACCTCTTATGAATATTCAGGTGGTAATGCTTTCATTTGTTTCAGTATTTGAGTATCACAAAGTAACTGATACTCAACTTATTTTTATCTTATTACAAATATGTGATTATATATACCTTTTTTTTCCAGTGCATTTGTCCATTAGCACAACTTCCAAGACCACTAACCCTCATATAAACAGCTGGTGGTCTGCAAACCTATACTAGGAGCATGAAAGTCATACCACTTTTACAACAGTTTCAAACAGGTCAAGATACTTGTGAAGCTACTTGCTAGTTAATTTGAAATTTAAAAAAAAATAAGGAAGAGAATGGTTTGTTCAGCAAGTTTACCAACATCTGTCATTATCTGAAAGATTACAGCCAGTTAATCCCAAATTGTAGCTACTGTATCTCTGGTAACCTATGTTTGCTGAAGTATATAATGGAAAGCTTTGGTGGAAGAAAAACTAAAATAAAATAGTTTGCGTAAAGGTCCATCAGCATTAATTTCCATTTTTCCTTCTTTTTCTTCCTTGCATACTTTTATGGATTATTCTGGAAACCGAAACAACAAAAGCAAAGCAAGAAGAGCCACAGAGAGTATTCATCTTTTAAATACTAGGTATTCCTTTTGAAGATCAGCAGATTTCCTAATCACACTCATTCCCTCCAATTCTCTCCAAGAATAGCAGACTTTTATACTTTAATCCCCAAACTAGACTCCATTTTTCAGTTTTCTACTCCACAGGTACTTTTTTCACAAACTTGTCTTACTTGTCCTAAATACTGTACTACTTAACAATTTATTCACAAGAACGACCAAAATAATAATGGTCATTCACTAATGCAAGGTAAAGCTAATGGACTACAAAAAGAGTTGCTTGTTAAAAATGTGAGAATACTCTTGAGCATTTAGATTTTTTCCATATCCTACTTTCCAGAAAACCACTGAGTTCAGTTTTTTACTGCTGTGATTGATAGCAAGCTCAGTAATGGATGCTTGATAAACAATTATTCTCTCTGGTTATTATGAATGGATATCACAATATTATTAACTGAATCTGAGCAGAGCCTTAAGATGTCATTACTAAACCAAACATTTAGCAACTGCAAATTACATTTATTTTGCAGTAAAAGACACTGTATGAGTGCATAATTTTTCAACATTGCTGAAAGCTATGCTTCGTACAGTTATAGGAGGAAAATTGTCCAGCTAGATTTTAATAGACAAGAGAAGTTTAGGCAACAGCATATATGGAGTATATGACAGCAGGAGCAGGACACAAACTTCACAGACATCAGCAGCTGAAAGACTGATAAAATGCCTTCTTGTAAAAACACACCTAAATATTTATAAGACAGCACAGAAAAGCTCCCTAATCTACCAGCCATATTTTACCTATTCTGTTGATAAAAAATAGTATTTTGTTTTGTATTTCACATACCTACTTATCTTCACTTTTACTAAAATTACTTCAGGTCACAAATCACAACATCCAGGAAGTTTTAAAGAGAATTCTGCATGGTCTACCATTAAAAATACATGTAAAGACATGATTGTCATTAATTCTAACACATACTGGTATATAGGTTTATGTTTACCCTAATGAATGGATATACATTAAGCAAACTAACACTATTAAACACTCTCTTCTTTAATCGGTTTACATGTCATTATTTATAAAGATGGTATCATTATAAATGTTAGTCTGTGTCAGATACTTTTAAAAGGGGTGCACAAGTTAGCTAAAGTTTCAAATATGTAACATAATGGTGCAAATACACTGTTATCCAGTGCAAACATGGCTCATCTTCCAACAGGAAATGTCAGTAAGGGCACTTAACTTTTAAGTGCACATTGAAAGATTAAGTTTAGAATACAATTCTTCTGTGGAAAAGAATGGAGAATTCTTCCATGCCATTCTGCCATGCTGCAATTCACACACTTTTCACTGAGTGGGCTACTGAAGCTCCTACAGTATTATCTAGTTGAGAGTTAGAAGACAACTACCAAAAGTATAAAATTAAATTGGTTAACCTCTGGAAAAAAAAAGTTGTCATAGATAGCTCTGAAGCATCAATTAACAGAATATCTAAATATCTGCAAAACCAGATCCTTTTAATACTTGAGACCTAAACTTACTTTTGAGTTGTATTTAATAAATCAGTTATTAATGTCATGTTACTATCATGTAACAGTATGGTAATTCCAGGGAAGAAGAGTTAAATTCCACTTTGGAAAAGTGAAACTAAGACCTACCTTAATTAGAGGGGTTTGTCATGTTTGTTTTTTTCAGATTTAATACAATTCCTGAAGAAACACTAATTATACTGCACAGGACACTGCTTTTCATCTACCTAATCTTAAGGTGCCAAAGTAGTATTTCAAACACATGGAGAAACATGACAAAGCAAGCTGATACCCAGTCTAGGTTGTAAATAGGCTAACACACAAAACTCCTTATGTGGTATGCATGTCTCCAGGTAGCACATACACAAGCTTCTGCACTTCCATAGCAATACACCTTAAAGACATATAACCAAGCTGTCTGTGCTTAGGCAGAAGAAGCTTTGCTTTGCATGTGATGAAGTTAATTTCATTTCTAACAATGTCCATATATGTTGAATTGATTTTAAGATCCCTGCAATGGAACAGCTTTATCTTTTCCATTTATCTTCAGAAGATAGCTTGAACATCTTGATGAATAGCTTTGTCCTGCGGCAGCAAAAAAGGGGCTTTTAGAAAAATCAAGACACAGAGCTCTTTCAAGGACAGAAATTAGGTACTGGAAATAATACCAATAAATAATATTAGCTTAAGTAAGCCCACTAACCTCAAAATATTAAAGGACAAACAGAACTTTCTTATACTGAATGTGATTGCCATAAAACTCCAAAAACCTCATGGTTTTTCTTCAGCCTCTTAATAATTTTTGCTTCTGCAGAGAGCAGAAACTCAGACCAATGATATAGTTAAAACAAATGAAAAACCAAACATGTCCTGTTTGAGACAGATAGGCAACCACTGCCTACAGAAATTCTTGACAGAGCTGACTAAGAAACCTAGTATTAACCAGTACAGGTGGTTTTTACAGGGCATGAGTCAGCAAAGAAGTGCTTTTGTTTGGTTTACAAAAACTATCCACAGATGATGTGTCAAGCAAGAAGATCCTCAGCTTGCCTGATCTGCACCACTTAAAACCCCAAACTGATAGAGAAACTAAAGATCTAATGGCAAACCTCAGTTTAATTATATTAATCTTCACTGCTATCCTCACTCTGCAATGAGCAGCAGTTTACAGTCACTGAAATAAACACCTATCTGAATTTCAAGTGCAAAATCCAGGTGACATACTTTCTGAACTAAGTTAGTGACACATAATACATGATAAGGATTAGATGATGTTTCAAAAAGCCTTTGGAGATAAGAAGATAAACAGAAATGCAGGGAATAGATTAATCAGCCAATCAAGCAGAAGCAGCATGACTTCTTTACACCATTTACAGATAAGCCTGTAAAAGAAAGTGAATCTGCTTTTAAAAAGCATTTTTTTCAAAGATCTGCATCTTGGAAGAATCACTTATCAAAGCCAGCACTTTCTTCATATCCTAAAGGCCCTAGAGAAATGTAAAGCTACTGTACTATTGTGATGTGAAAACAATTCCCTCCAGTTATTTGGATGAGGTACTGCTTCTTTGTAAAGATGACATTTTGTTTCAATTGTTTATATACTCTTCATTCAAAGACTACTGGTAAATACATTATTTATTGGAATGCAACTGCCCAAATGTCATGAAGAAGCTATACATAATTGGATAAATAAGATATCTCTTTAGTAACTTGCTATAAAATTGGTACTCTGCTTATAGATGGGAAATTCGCAATCTGACTGTAGACAGGTCACTATTTACCACAAAAAATTATAAACAAAAATATTAGGCTACTCCAAAGTAGAGAAACTCTGCAAGAAAGATATGAAAAGCTTTGGAATAAGTTCTTCTGTAGCAAAAGGAAGTGGAGGAATGAAATGTTTATTTCTCTGGATTAGATCTTACTAGAATTTTAGTGAAATATTCTCAGGTGAAAAGGATCCTTGAGATCATTACAGAGCAGTATATTGAAGACATCTTGTATTTCTGAAACACAGTCAGCAGTCAATGCGAGCCATAGCTCTGTATTGAAAGAGTAGAAATGTATTGGACAGAAAAGGAAACTTTCATAGATATGAAATTTCCTTAAGTCTTGGAAATATTAAACTGCTGCCTCAAGCTTTCAGTTACAGGTGGAGCATCATCTTTGCAGATGTTCTCCTGAACAATATTAACAGTACCAAAAAAAAAAAAAAAAAAAGTGAAATACATGCCTAAGAACAAGACCTCATCTGTCTCAAGAGAGTTATGAAGACTAAACGATCAAGGCACTGCTTAAAGAAGTGGTGTCAGTCAAGGGGCTGGGGAAGAGTTCTAGACTGCAGTCTTTACAGATACACAAGCTTTAAGAGAAACCTTAGGGATCCCAGTACTTTTGGAGTAGCAACAACAGCCTCAGTTTTCTAATGTTCAGACACATCTAGTGCCAAGTGATCCTTTGAGTACAAAAGCTTAGTTTATTCTTTGAAGACTATAGATATGTTTTCCCTCCAGCTGTAAAACATTATCATAGAGAAAATTGTTATTATGTCTAGCAAAACCTGACAGCTACTAATCCTGATTCAGAGATGAAGTCTTAGAAAAGATCTTTGTCCTACACATAACCAGCCTCGTTTTTAGGATAACCACAACTTTTAGATACTCACATGCTATAAATTTTATGGCAAACCCAAAGGCAACTTTATATAAAAAATAACTAAGGAAAAGGGAAAACTGATAAAACTGTATCAATACCAAATTCCAGGAAAACATTGCCAAGAAACTCCCAACCAGAAGAAGAAAGCAATACTTAATCTTCCGGAGGTACAAAGGAAAGCAAGATTTCCTTCCCAGACACTCTCCCAGCCTTGAGAGAAAGCCACTAGTAGTAAATTACATCTGTTTGAGGGAAGGTTCTAACCACTTTGGAAACAAACAACTCTGAAAATAGTAAACTGATGTTCAGCATGGGAATGCACACATCAGAAGCTGGTTTTATTTCTGGGAAGCTCCTGCTAATACACCACTATAGTTGGACTTCCTCCTCTATCTTTACCTCCAAAGCTGGTGGTGCCAACATTATTTATACTTGAAGTACTGAGCAGGACTGAAAAAGGAGGACTAAAACAAGCCTGTGCCCTACATTTAGTAACAAGTCAGTCAGCAATACAAGAACACGGCTTTCACAAGTTCCTCCACCTCTCCCCAGGCTGTGGCTGCTCTACCTGAAGCCAGAGGAACTGATCTAAATCACAGATGCAACAATTGTGTGCAGAGAACCACTAATTTAGTTGTACAGCACAACCACTTAGACTGATCACTTTAAAAAAGAAAGCAGTAGGACAAATATCTTTTATCAGGCCATGTTCTGGTGCTAGAAATCAGTCTTCACAAGCCATTTTCGGCTAGCTGTTGTCAGAAACAGCTCTCTACCCTACTGAGTCGGTGTTACAGATTCAGCAGCCTTTAAGGGCTAAGAGAAGCAGCACATCAAGCAAAGTTTAAAAAGTTATAGAATCAGCATGGTCATCTTATATGATGAATTCATTTCACACTTAAATTTTTCTAAAGCTGATTAAACTATTAAGTTCAAATTTTCCTTCAAATTTTTTAAATTCTTGATTGGTTAGATAATCTTTCCTATGAGTTTAGAACAAACTGTCTCATATTTTTTATTTCTTTATTCAAGGTGAATGTATAAAACTTGCTCAAACCTAGTCTGCCAGCCACAAACCAGAAAAGGCAACATAATCGTCCTCCCCCAAGATTTGGCCTAAGCATATTTTTTTGTTCCTTTCTATGTCCCAAAAAGAAGGAAGAAACATGTGTTGAAACTCATAAAGAAGAGCCTTAATTATCTCCAAAGAGTAGAAAAAAGAAGGAATTCTTGCTGTAGGAAGTAGATTATTCTCACAAAAGAAAAAACACAGTCATCACAGAAGATAGTTGTTTTTTGGATTTCAAACTTCTGTATTACTAGTTTCCTAAATAAGTTTTAAATTCAGAACAGACTTTTGTGATAAATTACACAAAGAACAGGAATATTCCAATGATTAGAGAAAACTTAAAATTTATGGAATACTGTATGGAAACCCAGAAGAAAGATTTGCACTGTATAAATTATTAAATAACAGGCAAGATACTTCAGCAACTATATTCCATGTACCTGAAAAACAAGAACCATGGAATACAAAAAAAGAAAAAAAAATCCAGTAAAAGTGCAAGAGCTTAGGTAAGGCTCTGAACAAAACTTTAATTTTTACTGACAAAATTCCTTGCAAAAAAGCTTGACCTTAGTGAAGAGCTCAAAAAAGTTACCCCAGCAGTACACCTTGAAATCACTTTTTCATAAACTGCGAGAGATGTATAGGTATGTCAGCTCCTGTGCACAAAGCACATTAGAGATTCTAAAGTACTCTTACATCCTGATGATGCTTCTCTTACCTCATTTTCTGAGGTACCTTGTTGTCGTGACACTCAGCAAGTCACAAGGTAAAACTTGAACTTGCCAGAATCAGAACAGAGACTCTTAAACCTCTCCGTTAAAGAAAAGCACAGTGCACTTCGAACTTTGAGAAATACAGCAGTGGGAAAGGTGGATACTGCCACCATGTGGTGCAAAAAGAACAAAATTAGAAGTCTGTATCAAAGGTGAATGTCCCAAGAAAACAATTTTAATAATTGTTATCAACTATCTTGTTAATTTGCTTCAGCAGAAGTAATGGATGTCAGTCAAATCTCAAAGGCTGAAATCCTCCTGTAAAATTTTATTAAATCAAAGCACACTAAATGTACAGTGAAGGAAAATGCTTATGCAAGACAAAATTTAACAGGATTAATTTAATCTCAGTTATGACCAGAGATGGTGACACAGAATAATGCTGAAGCACATAAATGTATAAATTTTATTGACTATTTTCTCTAACTCAATCATAATGAGAAATGAAAGTACATGAATTTCACAAGATAAACTTATATAAAGAAAAAATTCTCCTTACACTTGATTATTCTGTAAGCAAATTTCACAGGGGAAAAAAGGCAATAACTAAAACATATTCTCAGAAATATTAAAATGACAGTGTCATTTAAGTCTCTACTAGCCATGACCTGGATAAATATATTTTGAGTACCTGAAACTGTTGTCCCAACTCAGATTTATGTAGAACTACATTAAAATACAAATTACCCTACCTATATACATTCCAAGAATAATATAAACATTGACAAATGCATTAGAAAAAACGTGCTCCTTATACTGATTCAATTCCTTAGCTCTTTAAAAATAAAAACTTAAAATATTCATATAATTTTTTTCTCTACTTCTGGTGTTTATACCTTACTTGAAATCAAATTATCTTTTTTTTTTAGTATAGAAACAAATAGGAAAATTAAAATACAAAAAATTGAAAAAGAGAAGATGCAACTCCAAAGAACTTTAAAAAATACATTTTTATAGCATTAAAACAAAAGGTGAAGCAAACTACTAGCAAGACATCACCATCTCAAAGACTATATACTGAAACATCATGGTGTCCAGATCCCCTGTCCAGCATCCCCACCTTGAAATCTTGCTCTCTGAAAGCAGAGCACAGCTGGTAAGAGACTACCCTGAACTTTCTCATTAGCAAATCTTGCATGGTAGCCACAGCATGAAGTTAGCTGTTACACAAGGATGCATATAGCTTATTTCCTCTTTTCCTCCCTCCCTCCCTCCCTCCCTCCCTCCCCTCTCCTCCTTACAGTAATTTTTATACAGCAAAAAAACTTTTCTATCTTACACATGAATAATGATTTGGAGAATGAGATTTTCACAATATATGTATTCACAGTTTCGGAACTGAGATAACTAAGGAGCACAGACCTCTGTCAGACACTTCAGCTGGGATCTGCACCCACTTAGTTCTTCTGTCAGACTCTCCTTTTTCATCTGTAGATCACTTAGCTCTCTTCTTAAGGAATGGACTACTTCATAAAACCGGACCTAGAAGAACAAGACAGATATTTAAAGTTGCAACTGCAAAACTACGAACCTAAAACCACATCAGCTCAATATTTTATTACAATAACTTACTAAATTACTTCTAGGGCACAACATAAAGGTAAAGATTATATTGTTGTACAGCTAAGGCAGCTTACACTCAGGCTGATCAATCAAAAAAACACAGTTGCTAATTGACACATGTCCCCATGCACTTCATTGTGCCAAACCTAGAGCCTATTTGATTAACAGTGCAAAAAGAAAAAAAAAAAAACAAACCCAAACCTATTTAATAATAACCAACTTAACTTGCTAACTTTCCCCAAGACAATATAAATTTTTATGGGGTGTACTCAGTGTGCTGAATTTGCACCAAGAAAAATGCAAGTGCAATCACAGGGAGCAGAAACAGCACATAACAAGGGAGAACCATGACACCCCCTCTACACACACCTCCAGCAGTAATGTGCTGGTATAGGGATTCAACTCATCAGGAAACTAAGGCTCTGAAAGACTTGACTCTGTTAAATAAACACCAAAAATATTCCAACCTTCTAACAGGATTAAAAAAAATTAAAATCTGTAACACATTTTCCTCTTTCTTCCCCCATGCTAGTTATAGGCATTGTCCCAGGCAAGTAAGTCTCACATCCATAAAACTTTTTCAGAACTTTTCCTCTGATCAAGAAAAAAGACTAGAAAATACAGTAGTAAAATCACAAAGCCAGCGTTAAAAAAGAAAAAAAAAAAGAGACAAAACAAAGAAGAAATAGCTTTTTTGATATACACCCACATACACGTACACAGAAGCTATTATTCCCAGATTAACTTGATACCTTAAAATGTTACATTTGGGGGTGTGTGTGAAAAGAATAAATAAGTAGGCACTGTTTTCATGCAAAAGCTATTGCGTGCTCTCCATCCCTAATGCTTTCTTTGATATATGATTAAAGAAGAAATACAGACAAGAAAGCACAGATTAAATAAGCATTCAAGAGCAAGCTGTACTGCACTTCCATGCAGAAGGAAGACAGATCTCTGTTTTGCTACCTATAAACAGCAGAAGACAAAGGAAAGTTCCAGGTACATTTTATATAATTGACAGCATACAATTCTAAAAACACAGAAGCCATAGAAATTTGCAATGTAAACACAGGTGTAGTATGCTTCATACAATAAGGCAAGCATACAACATGACTGAAAGATTAGTATTTTTAACTGTAGCATTTGATGATTCAACTGGCCATTTCTTAAGAAAAAAATAACCTTGATTATCACTAATTGATAACCATTTAAAGCATTGTGTTTTTTTTAAAACCACACCTGCTTTACCATGAAATTCTTTTATTTTTACTGCAATATCCCTAGGAAACTTATGTTATCAACCATAATTATTTCTCAAAACACAACAACCTTAAAACATATTTCCCAGTAGAAACCAAGATTACATGAGATACAGGTATCAAGGATAAATGTATTTACACAGCCTTCCCAAGAAAAGATCATTGCACGGTATTAAGAAAGTGCAAATGAATGCAGCAGATGTGGTTCTAGCAGTTCAACTGTTGCTGCTATTTAGCTGGTTTGATAGCCAATAAATGTTCATGTAACCCAGAAGCCAAAGCACAAACTGCCTCTTGCCAATTCAATACAGCAGAAACAAAACCTACTCTAAAAGGGATTTTAGAAAAAAAATCCATATCTTAAAAATCACAAATTTATATTGGTGTGCTATAAACAGTTCCCACTTTCTAGGCAGTTTTTAAAAAACTCTTAGCCTGTGCCCACCACTTTTTATGTACAATTAGAAAAAAGTAAAAATGGGTGGGTGGAGAGTTTGAAAAAATTAATTGATGTTCTGTGAAAGCAGCTGGATCAGTTAACTGCCTTCTTAAATAAACAGCAACTGAGTTGCAGTTAGCAAAATGATATACTTAAAAGACATGGCAATTAAAATCAGTTAAAATAGAACTTGCAGAAACCATTTTTTAAAAATTTGCTGAAAATTTTTTACAGAGTTCACAAGAGGTTCACTTTACTGAACAAACTGAACTGGTGCTTGGCAGCTGAACAATTTAACAGCCTGAAGTACTTTCAAATTTCACATATACTGTTTCTAAAAACATCTCAGGAATAACAAAACAAAAATCTGAATTTTTACACATAAGTTCAAAATAAACTTTGATTTTAAGAGAAAGATGTGCAAAATACAATTTTTCAGTTGTCATCATTTGCATTAAACATTGCCTAAGCTTTGTTCTAACATGTCACTATTGCACCCCTTTGTGGAAGAACAGTGAAAAACATCTCACATTTGCTTGTTTCAAATTTACAGTATCTCTATACACAAAATCTGCATTTAAGTTCTTCCTGCTTTTTGTCCAGTAGACCAGGTGTCAAATAAAGTCTAAACATTGTATACATGTTTACTTTCATCCTGGAGAATTGCAAGGCAGTATTTTATAACTGATATATAGAAAAAAAAAAAAAAAAGTCTGAAATTTTCCTCTTCAAGTTGTCTAAGCAGGACCTTTTCTCAACAATGAAAATTTTATCCTAGTATCAGTGGGCTATATTATTAGTCTGTACACAGATGTAGAGTCAGAAATTTTAACTGCCTAGAAATGCCCAACTTCTCCTTAGGCAAGCAAAGCAGGAAACAGCATTCCTTCAAACTCCTTTCTCCAGCCCTTGGAAGCCAAATGGATGCACAGACAGGATGTGCAAAACAGTTCTGTGGGCTCCCACCATCTGTATCAGCTGCATAACCTGAAGTAATGATAATGAACCACCTAGCTTAACTGATACTTTTAGGTTCACACTAATCTTCTGCTAGAAGAAGTTAAAAAAAGCAGAAAATAGCACTTTACTACAATACATCTTTAGAATGCCTTATCCAGAAAAAGAAAAGGTCTAAAAATTACTTCTTCAAAATAAAAAATAATGTGTGAAGAAGAGAGGAGTTTTTTTCAGATAAAAATAACATTAACTGGTTGAACACAAGAGTAAAAGAACAGAAAGTTAAAGGTAGAAGGTGGTTGCTACTCATCTCTCCTACCTTACACCTTTTTGACAGCCATTTTCTACTCACAAATTAAATCTAAATTGTGCTGTGACAGCTTCACTTAAGGCAGCTGACAAGATTACTAACTCCTGGTATCTATCCTGCCTGGCTGCAGAGTCTTTTGTACTGACTGTCAGTCAATTCCTCAAGTCTTGAACTTCCTGCACACCAATTTCAACAGAACCACTGCCAGGAATTTCAGTTTCTGTTAAAAGTCTGTTTTTTTTCGACCATGGTGGTACAGGAATCAACAACACCCCGTCAAATACTTTTGCAGAGGGCAGTGGGTACAGCAGACAGCTAGGTGGTGAGAACCTAACAGTACCCAAACTATATGTTCTTGTTTATGCCACAGAGCCTTATGATGTTCCTAGCACTTTCAAAAGCCCAGCTTTTTAAAAGATGCTCACAAGAACATCCTTTAGATAAGGGTGAAAATTTTTACTTCTCTGTACATATATAGAGCACAGTAAAGCATGACTTTGATCTGGAGAATTCATTCATGTAGCATTTATACCTCAACAAATGTACTAAGGTTTCTAACATTGTTAATGTTAAAAACATGTTAATGTAGAGCTTAATAACAAGCTCTACAGATTAGTACAATGCTAATATTTTGATGAATTAAGGTTTATATGTCTAAAACTTCTTCATTCTCCTAAGTCAGCTGGGATGCTCTGGACATGTCCAGCAGGCTTTTTATTGCAAACAAGAGCACACAGTGGCCTCTCCATAATCCCACAAGCCATAAATAACAAACATATTAAATCAAGAAAATAAATCTCAAAGTATACTTTGAGGTACACTTTGTCTCCTGCATTTAGTCAAACAGGAAAGGAACATATGGAAAGCATAAGAGAAAAGTAAGAGATGTTTACAAGTGCAATCCCAGCTTGTGGTTCTGGCAAACCAAGTTTCAAATTCCTTTTTTCAGTCTGCTGTATTTCATATTATCAGTGTGTGCTCACATTTTAATTGTGACATCCCATCTGCTTAACCTCCTTAAAATACGTCAGCAGTTCTACTCTCTTTCAAGACATCAGAATCAGGGATTAAAAGGTTCCACTCTTTACTGGAACCCAGTCATACTCTTATGACTGATCCAGGAATACATCTGCCTCTGAAGGTCCTTTATTTCTAGTCGGAGATGAAAAAAACAACCCACCATAATTTATAGCTTGGGGTGGGTTGAGCCTGCCAGCAGCTTATATGGCTGCTCACCCATTTGCTGCCTCCTCTGGGAGCAGGAGAAAGTGAGAAGAACAAAACAAAACCAAAAAAATTCGGGTGTCAAGTTTTCGAAACAATTACTGAAGGAAAGAGAGATGAGCTTAAAAAGTAAAAAAAAACCCGAAAAAATAAAAGAATTCATCACCTCCCAGAAACTGGGGAAACTGATACCTAGCCAGTCCCTGAGTAATAACCATCTTGGGAAGCCATCACCGCCCCCCACCTTCTCTTTTGTCCTCTACCTCCCATTTATGCTGCTGAGTATGACATTTTATGGTATGGCATATTACTCTGGCCAATTTGGGTCATCTGTTCAGCTGTGTCCCCTATCAATCTCATGACCATTTATAGCTGGCTGAGGCAGGGGGAGGCAAAATGGGGAAAACAGAAAGTCTTGATGTTGTGCAAGCACTGTCAGGCAATAGCCAAAACAGTTTCAACCACCAGTGTGAAGCACAGCAAGATTCAGACTGCTATGACGAATGTGAACTCTGTCTCAGCCAGATCCAAGATACAGATTATACTTAAAAGCAGTACAAAACCCAATACTTACTGAAACATATTCAGGGATAGAAAGCTGATCTTCAGGAAGAGACTTGAGCTTCTCATAGCATTCATCTGTTAATTCCAAGTCTCGCAAGCTACGACGGATATCTCCAGCCCTCTCTCTCAATTGATAATTTGTTTCCTCCAGTTGCTTCTGTCTCAATAAAATGGTTTCCATTTCTTGCTTCATTAGAGCCTGATGTTTCCTTCAAGATGGATTTGAAAACAGAAGATATCAGGTAATGAGTAGCACAAGTGACAAAGCTTCACAATACCCTGGCAAAGAAGTGAGTTCTGCTCATTTTGTAGAGGGGAAAAAATTGCAAAGATTAGGTAATTAGTGCCAGACTGTATACTACTATGGTTAAACAGTCATATCAGATACAGTATATATAAAAAGCCAGGAACTTTATAGTCATTGACAACACAAAGCTGAATCTGAGAATAGACAATCTCCACATCTGCCGACTTGAATTTACAAACTAAACTTAATATACCAATTAAAAGGTTAAAAACATGAAAAAGTAGAATGTATTTCCACACAAACCCCGAAGTGCTGGTACATTACTTGAACTTGGATCTTACCAAGTTTCAGCACAGGCACCATCATACCAACCCTTAATTTTCTACCCACTGTAATATATAAAGTTAAGAGTCCTTTATTAAAAAAACCAAACAGCTCCAAATCAACCCGTACTACAACAGAACAAGCAGCCTTACTTTCAGCTTTAAAACACCATACTACTGTTATCATCAGTGTTAAGGTTTCATACAGCAATAGAAACTGCACATGAGTTCATGACATTTAGAAGTGTTTATTTTCTTTAAATCAAGCACAACTAACCTACTTTTTTTTTTATTTTTAGCTGCAACTCTTGAAAACATATGCAAGTCACTCTTTAAAGCATAGTCATTTCTGCATTACTTAAAAAGGAATAAAAAAATATTAACTAGTACTACAAAGCAACATCTACCCCACTGGCAGGGTACAGGTAACAGGAAGTCTGAGGTCACCAAAACAATCACACAAGGACTCACTACATGGTGTGTAAAATTCTACTACATGAGGATGAAAAGTTAAGTAAAAGACTGCCAAGGAAACTAATTAAAAGATTGGAAAAAGTAGTTTAACTTTTTTATGCCTATTAATAACAGTTTGAACATCAGTACCTTTTTACTGAGCACTCCTTAGATAACTCAAGTATGCCCAGCATAAAAAGATTGCACTCTAGTGACTAACGTTTTTCTGACCGTAAGCTGCTCTCACAGTTGAAAGACTTTGCTGGAACTCATTTCAGGTCTGGCTCCACATCCCTAAATCTGTTCTAGCATCACTACAGAATAGGACTTGGAAGCAGTCACATCCTGGGCCAGTCTATTTTTTCAGGTTAACTCCAAATATTTCAGAAAAACAACATGGAAAGCGAGTTCCTCCATCACCAACTGAAAGCATTTCTAACAAATAGGAAGTACTAATGGGAAAAGCTAAACATTATGTGCTTACCTTTCCCAAGTCCTTCCCTTTCTATGCTGCATTTATTAAAAATTCTGTTTAAATTGGTGGATATTCTGTCACCTCTGACTAGTCCTTTTGCTCTTTATTGGTTTTAAGAACACTTTTACTACCTCCTCCTACTAATTTTGAATTTAGGTAAAAAAAAAAACAAGCCCACAAACTTCAGCTAGTGAGAATTGAATTTTAATTTACTTATATGTAAATTCAATTTTTAGAATGAAAACACTAATATAATCCGCAAAAGAAATCCTATTCCTGCAACTATTAGTTATCTGTTTCTGTTAATAATTTATTTACACACGTTCAAATTAACTCACTAATTTGTTAACAATTAAGTTCTTAATTTTCCTTCCATCATACCTGGCATCTTCTTGCTGTAATGCCAACTGACTATCCAGTCGTAAAGACAACAGCTGCTTTTGATGGATTGCATCATTAAGCTTCTCCTCTAGCTCCTCAATCTAAATATAAAGAATGTGAGTGGGTATAAAACAAAATAAGTTACCATATTAATTTTTAATTTTTTTTTTACAAAAAGAACAAGTTGAAATAAAAATATGAAGATCCCAATGCTGTGGACAATCCAATAATGGCTATCTAACAAGACCCCGAAAGAGATTAGGGCTTCAGAATATGATATGGACTTAAAAAAATAAAAAAAAAAGGTTTCGCTCTTAAATGGGTCTTTTTCAGCTAAAAAGCTATTTGTTCACCTAATTTCAAGTTAGACTTAAACTCAGAGCAGAGAACCAATAAAAACCAGGTAGCATATAATATGTTGCAAAAATGAGCAATGCCACATTGTTTTTACACCCTTAATTTCACGCATCTTTGTGCAAGCTGTACACAACAAAATCTATTGTTTTGCATGTTGGTATAGTCTATCCCTATCTCGATTAACAAAGCATTGAAGAGTATTCAGATCACCTTTCCTAGTACTACACAAGTTCAGATTCAAAGCCCTGTTATGCTACTAACGTGAGTGACAAAAGTATTCCTAATTTCTGGAAGAAAACAGGTGTTTTTCCTATGTGTTTAGGAAAGGTAAAACCAATTAGATCTTCCCTTATTTATAAGTAAAATGACTTGAAGTCTGTGAAGCTTTCTATATCTTCGTTTCCCCTTCTTCTTATGAAAGAACACAAAACACAAGAAAACTCCCAAAACAACTAAGCAGATCTCCACCATACATTTCAAATAAATTCTTTTCAGAATAGAAGTTTCTATCATAGTCTAAAAGTAGCAAAATCAAAAAGAGATTATATAATGAAAGGAGAAAGACTACTTACCTTGGTCAAATATTCAACTTTCAAGTTGTCAATCATCAAGTTTTTTTGCGATAATTCTATTTTAAGCAGCTGAAGATTATGGAGCAACTCCTTCCGTTCAATCAGCTGCTTAGTGATTTTTACAGTACCTTCTCTCTCTTCAGAGGAAGAAACATCATCAGTTGGTACTGTGGTTTCCAAGCTGATATCCTCAGATTCCAAGGAGCTAGAAATGTTTACTTTCTTGATTACCTTAGAGTTTTTATGTGACATTTTCTTCCACTATTTGCAAAGCTTTTTTAAGTTATGTTTTGAGATGAGCCTTCTGAAGAATCAACTGCAAGAATCAAAACAATTAATGAGGTGTTATTATGAAAAACTAACCACTACATTAGACCACTAAGCAAGCGATGCTTCTCAGTATCACATGAACATTTTTTTTTCACCCAAGAAAAACATTTTGAGAAGCTCTGGAGGGCTACTGCCTGAGTACCCTCTTCCTGAACAGTCATTATCAAGCGTTTTGACTACAACAACCTAAATATCAGTGGGAACACCTACGTGAATCTAGCTTACTGGTATGATGCTATACTTAAATAAAGATATGCACGTTGTCAAAAGCACATACACTGAAAACTCCCGAGGCCCACAAGGCACACACAGGTCCCTATAAGAGGTGTAAGACGACATACTAGAGAAAACAATAAAGGAATACCTTGATCACAGAATCACACAGATTGGAAAAGACCTTCGAGATCACCGTGTCCAACCTCTGACTCACAGGTACAATCCCCTCATCATCTCCACCATGGTACTCAGGACCACGTTCAGTCTTTCCTTCGAGCCATGGTGACTCCGCCACCTCCCTTGGCAGCGCATTCCAATGCCTAATCACCCTGCTTAGAAAATCCACCTAATGTCCAACCTTACATTCCCCTGGTGCATCTTGAGGCTTTTTCCCCTTATCCTACAGCTGGGTGCCTGGGAGGAGAGCCCCGGACCCGACCTATTTACAAGCTCCTTTCAGACCTTGCTGGCTTTTGCCTTCTCAGCAGCAGCTTCACTGCTCTTGCCAGGCTGCTTGACCCACCAGCCACACGGGCTTTTACACCCACCTGGCACAGACCACGGCTGCTACTTACAGACGGCGCTGCTCAGAGACCAGCAGGGAGAGCAGACGCCGCGCTCGGAGCCCGGGCCAGCGAGAGCCGGGCTGCCCTCCCGGGGTCGCCACCACCGCCTTCCTTCCCCGCAGCACCTGGGGGCAGCTCGGGAAGAGGGTATGCTGTTCGTCCGGCACGATGCCCGGAGCTGCAGAAAGCACCGGGCAGCTGCCCAAGCGGTAACTGTGCAGCGGCGAGGGCTGGGGAGCAGCAGCCCGGGCCTGGCCAGTCGTGAGCTCTGCCCCACGCACCCCGGGCAGCGGCGGCACCACTCGCGCGCTTCCGCCTTCCTCAGCGCGGCGGGGGCGGCGCCGCGCTAACGTCATCACCGCGGCGACCGCGGCGCCGCTTCCCGCGCCCTTCCCGCTTCCCGCGCCGCTGCCCGCGCCTCCCTTCCCGCGCCGCTCGCCGCGGCCCCGCGCGCCATGCTGACCTCGCGGACGTTCGTGAAGCGCACGCGGGCGGGCGCGGTGGTGAAGGTGGTGCGCGAGCATTACCTGCGCGACGACATCGCCTGCGGCGCCGCCGCGTGCCGCCTCTGCCCCCGCGCCGCGCCCGGCGCCGGGAGCGCGCCCGGGCTGGAGGCGCGGCCCGGCGGCCCCGGCAGCAGCCTGTGCCCCGGGCCGCACTTCCTCCTGCCCGACACCAACCTGCTCCTGCACCAGGTGAGCGCCGCGGCAGGCACGGAAGGAAGGCGGGCCTCAGCGCTGGGGGACGCCCGCCGCTGCCTCTGGGCCCGGGCGGGCTCCATGCGGAGGCTCCAGCCTTCCCGGCCCGTACTTGTTGATCCCTGTGGGTGCAGGTTCCCGTGTGGGTTCCGGCGTCGCGCTGGAGGGGCGCGTATGGCAGCGCTCTGCGGGCCTGGTTCCTCCCGTGTGTCCTGTGGCTGCTTGGTCCTTGTCTGGGTCTTTCTTTCTGCTTTGTCTGGCCTTGTTGTTCTCTGCTAGCTCCTAGGAGAAGGCTGCAGCATCAGCGAACCTGGCCTGGTCTTAGACTATGTTCCAGTTTTATTGGGGGGGGGGGGGGTAGTGTGTGTGATTTTTTGCTTGTCTTGTTTTCTTTTTTTGTTGTTGTTTTGTTTGGTTTGGTTTTTTGTGTTTTTGTTTTTTATTGTTCTGCCTGAATTTGAGAGATAAAGAACAGTATTTATTTATTAATTTATTCATTTAGTCCGTTGTGTTCTGGTGTAAGTATGAAAATTCAAGCAGAGAAAGTTGGTGGACTGTCAGGTAGCAATTGGGATCTTCGTGTCGTCACTGCCACTGAATTTTTGAATCTTCTCTGGTTGCTGAATTTTTCTGAATGCCTTTTCTGCTTTTCAGGGTGTAGCTTTAGGTTCTTTATGCTGTGATATTGATTTATTTCAATGATTAGAAGGTGTGAAGTCATTCCATGCGCAGCTGTGGAAGCACGGGAGCAACTTCACTCTGCAGCTCATCAATAGCTGTGCAGAGGATTGAGGCTGAGCAGGGCAGAAAGTGGACTTTGAGGCTGGCAGGCATTCCCAAGCTTGATGTTTAAGTTTTTCCTTTAATTGTTTTTGAATACCTGTGTAGAAGGTAGAACAGCCCTGTGCACACATTGCAGATTGCAACTAATTCAGGAATTCTAACATGGAGTACTCTGGAAAGGGGAACAACACTTGTGTGTTTTAGCAGAGATCCCAAAAGTTGTAAGGATTTTCATCTCAAAACAGCAGGTCAAGGGATGTTTTCAGCCTCTTACAAGTGAACTTCTTGGTGTCTTGTTGGTGAAATTTGTATGTGTGTCCCATAGTGTGCTCTGAGAATGTACCAGGTTGTGCCAAGGTGGACTGGAGAAGTGGGGATTAGGAAGCCTTGGTTAGGGTAGGGAAAGGTTTTGCCTAGAAACTGTAAGACTTTTGCCACAGTAAGACTTGGCCTGGTGCTTCAGCTTATGCATATAATAATGCTGGATTTCTTCTATGAATATGGCTCTAAATCTTTCAGGTCATGTAAGCATCAGGTTCACAGGAGCTTGGTCTGGTATTGCTTTTTATTCTTTTATCTGTGCACTCTAGAGCCTTACTGCTGTCTCATTTTGCAGGTGGGTTTGCACAGTTTCTTGCCGCAAGGTTAGGAAGTGATGTTCCCATCTTTTTCCCCTGACAGATTACATGGATTTCTAGTGTATATTTATTTTTCTGTCTTAATGTCAGGAGTTGGCAAAGAAAGGTGCTGAAAATTTTAACAAAATTCCTTGAAAAAGATCTTTCAAAAGTGAAGAGCAGCTTGCAGAATGTCCATTGATTTGACTCCGTGGAAATTAAAATTTCAATTTAACAGTGGGATTGTTTCTGGAGAACTTAAACCTACACATGCATAGGCACGTCAGCTGTGTAAGAGTAGTTGTGTACCATTTATGGCTTGCATTCCTCACAGAGGCAGGCAGCCTGTAAATTACAGATTTCCATTACATTGTGCATAGCTGCATTTTGTTTACTAAGGATAAATTTTATAGGAACCCATTTTATGTAAGAAAAATTTGTAGTGTACAATCGGCCTTACATTTGTCTGGAATCCTGCACACACTGGGGGCAAATTTGTTGGAAGTCACAATAAGTCTTTATCTTCACTTCAGATAACAGAGGCTGGAAAATCCTATTTGACTTTTTTTTTTCCCACAAGGAGGCAAAAGCAACTTAATACACTGTCCAGTTTCCCACTGGTGAGGGGAAAAAGGCAGAACGAGACCCACTCATTACTCCTGTTAGATTTTCATGTATTAGCCAAGGAAATATTTCAAGTCCTGTTATTGGATAGAATTAAAGAAAAATTTTGATTAATTTCCATTTTGTTCCTCAGATTGATATCCTTGAAGATCCTGTTATTAAGAATGTCATTGTGCTGCAGACAGTCCTACAAGAAGTCAGGAATCGGAGTGCACCAGTGTACAAACGAATTAGGGACTTGATTCAAAACCCAGAGAAACATTTCTATTCTTTCACCAATGAGCACCACAGGTAAGGATGGAATGGGGTATAACAAAGTTGTGCTGACATCCAGTAAAAGAAAGTGGAAGACAAAACTAGAACATGTGGACTGGAAGAAAAATTACAGTGGTGTCATAGAACTATATATTTCTAAGGAATCCTTTTGAGAAGTATGTTCCAGGAGTTTTCTGTCTATAGTTGGTATAAATCCATGTATGTTATGCAAAGAGAGATAGAATATTGAATAATTAGCACTGTTATCTTGAGTAATAAGGTACTGATTTTCTATTTTAGTGTCCCTTTTAAACATATTCCAATGCTTTATCAATATTGTCAGCTTAGTCTGTAGCAGAATTCAAAAATCCATTAAGTTGGTAACAGAACTCTCTGAGAAATGGAGATGCAATTAATTTGCCTTTATTTGTGCTCACAGTTAGTTTCAATACTGCAGTATCATAGTTCAAGGAATCTTGAATCTATAGTTCTAACAGCTTGAATGCAAATCTCTTTAATTGTCTGTGAGAAAGTTGTGTGAGAAATTAATACTTCCTTCTTATTTTCCTTTACCCATGTCTCCTGGCCCTTCAGCGGCCTAATGAGTGTTACACATTTTATAGCAATGGATACAATAGTGATACTTTTGACCTAACAGCCTTGATCCTGTTTGTCTGAAAATTTTAAGTATAGATAGATGCTGGGATTTGCTTCGGTTTGTCAAACACGCCCCTTTGTTTTTAAAATTTATGTAGAGACACGTACATAGAGCAAAAGCGGGGAGAAACTTCTAATGACCGCAATGACAGAGCCATTCGGGTAGCAGTGAAATGGTACAATGAACACTTGAAGAAAATAGAGGATGAGGAGAAGATTCAAGTTATCTTTTTAACAAATGACAGAATTAATAAAGAGAAAGCTTTGGAGGAAGGAATAACTGCTTATACATGTAAGTGAAGTATTATGTATGTGTAATTTATTGCTCAAATCAACTGAGCAGTCACTTGATACCTAAATCCCATGCATCTCTCACACATTTACGTGTGTGCTTTTTGTAGGTGAGGAGTATATAAAAAGCTTGACAGCTAATCCTGAGCTTGTAGACCGTCTTGCTTGTGTATCTGATGAAGGGGTATGTTTTTATTTTCTTTTTATAAAACAAATTGATCACAAATGGGTTGTAGTATAATATTGCATACTGTATGTCAGGTACTGGCATCAGTTTAGAATACAAGGAGTTTGGACTTTATTACCATTCTGGCAATTTAACTTTTTGACAACTGAAAAGTAAAAAGGAAATATTGCAGCCATTTTCAGTTCTGCTTATATGCCTGTTAGTATGTATCTTGTAAAAAGACGGTTGCTTTAGATAATTATTGTGAAGATGACAATAATAACAAACAACAAAATTAAAACAAAATATATTGCAAACCATTTAGATCTTCATTTTGTGTCTGCTGGAAAATCTTTGTTAAAGCATTTTCATTTGATTATTAGTTAAGTTGATACAAATGCAGGCTGCAGCTCAGATATGAGCTACATCCTCTTGTACTTCCTTGTGCTTTGTGTTTATCAGAATCAAGAATTATATTTCACATACAACTGATATAGCTGTACACTGACCACAAAAATAGGAAAGTTAATTTCATCAGAGTTAGTTTTGACAGGATAGAGCTCTATGCAAGAGTGGGAAAAAAGAGGGCTCAGGTATTCTCAGCAGTTAACTATAGATTATTCAGGTGTAAGTAATTGTCTGACTGCTCCAAACTATGGTCACAGTAATGTATTTTCATGTTTCCTATGGCTTACAGTACATACACTATGTGCCACACTCTTTACTATACTAATGTTTTCTTGGATAAGTATCTGTTTAGTCACTGTATCCAGTCAACGTAAATTGTGCACTATGTTTTAAAGTAACTGCAGGAAAACAAGAAAAGTTCCTAGAATTGCCACATTTTAATGCTTTTGATGCTTCATTAGAAAAAGCACTGCTTAATAATAGTTTTTTATTGTTCTGCATATTCATACCTACACACAGTTACAATTAGGGAGTTTGTTAGCTTGAGTGTGTCATGTTCCACAGCTTGGTTTTGAAATTAACATGAATATAAAATACTGAAAATATCCTCTCCTGTTTTTATTTTTTTCTAAAGAAAGAAATAGAAGGTGGGAAAATAATATTCCCAGAACATATTCCTCTTAGCAAATTGCAGCAAGGAATAAAATCTGGTATTTACCTCCAAGGAACTTACAGGGCAAACAGAGAGAATTATCTTGAAGCTACTGTTTGGGTTCATGGAGATGCTGAAGAAAACAAAGAGGTGAGTTT